AATAAAAAAATGTGCGGTTTTTAAGAAAAAAATGTTTAAAGACAATAAAAATTACTTACGTTTGACACAAAATGTCGCAAAAAATACTAATGTTTTTGAATAATCGAACTTGACCTTATTTAAAGATCCGTTTTTAATGAACACATTTCATTAAGAAACAAAATTGTATCTTTAGAATTATAGTTGTAGGAAGACGCCGAATAAATTTTGAAATATTTCATTTTTCTAAAAATCAGGGTTTTCCACCATCATGAGACCTGCATCATTTTCTTAAACGTCCTTGAGAATATTTAACAAAAAAATTTAATCAAATTCGATCGAACCGTTTTCGAGAAGAAATTGTTTAAACAAAATTTAAAATTGCCTAAAAAATTGTTTAAACTAAACTAGGCGAAAAATACTCTATTTTTCGAAAAATTGTACATGGCTTTACTTTGAAAGCTATCTTTAAGGAACAGATTTTTTTTAGGGAACACATCTCTGTCTTTAATAATACTGGCCTTCGATGCTTTCATTGCCGCCATCTTGTATTGCTTTTAAGGATTACTTGTGCACCATGAATCAGGATCTGACGTAATTTTTCGTACATCACGTCAGGTTTTTTTTTTTTAAATCTTATTTTTCATTTTCATCAAATACACGCACTAATGCACTTCTGTCGTTACTGAAGGTGTTTTTATTACGATTTCCATATTAGTTTATTGATTCGATGTCCCGCAGCTATCTGGCAACCCCGTGTACCGCTTAGTCTAAAACCGGTGTTTAGCACGTACTGCAATTAAAATTATCACATTTTTATAGAAATTATATCAACATGCTACATCGTGGCTGCTAGAACACTACATATACATCCTGCTATGTGTGTGGAAGTTTAGTGCCAATAAGAGAGCAGCGCAAAATAACCGAGTTCATGAGAAAGGCCTACTACGCCCACTGGTATCATACCGGGAGACCAAGAAAAGCCGTAGGCACCACATAGGGCTTGTAAAACGTTAAAGAAGTTACGACGGTGAGAGAACAGCGTTGCCATCCGGAATTTCAATGGTATGGCGAGAAATTTCAAACCTCTGTTCTGACTGCTTCTTCTGTTCTAAAAGTGAAGGGATTCAACAACAATAACAGAAGTTTTATTGTGTATCCAAACAATATTAAATTAGCAATTTTACCCGTTTCCTCGTGGTTCTAGATGTACATTTACCTCAGCATCAGGAAAATTTAGAAGATTGTCCCCCATCTGAATGTGATGCAGAAATGGCCGATCCTACCTCTGACTGTGATATCTCCATTGAAGACTTTGCAAAGGAACCTAAATTTTTCAAGCAAAGTGCATTAAATTATTTTGTTCAAGATCTTGTACTTGCAAGGAATCTGCTGAGATCCTCGGGTCTACATTTCGTGAAAGGAAGATGTTGGCACCAGGAACGACGTACTGGAATATTGGGCGCGTAAATTGCGAACAAGACACTTCTTTCTGATCGGGAACTTTGGTTACTACAACAACATCCAGAAGACTATGCTGAAACTAGGATTACTACAGTACGGCCCTATACAACGGAGATATTTTTATCGACGCCTGCAAGCATAGTTAGAAGCGAGTCCTTCAATTAAAATGAAAACAAAATTTCATCCATTCCCATTGCTCATTCTGGAATTATGCGAGAACATGGAAATCCTGAAATTATGTTGTGTGAACTGAAGAACCAGGAACACAAGTGGAAAGTCTGTGGTGATTCTAACGTTATAGGTATTGTTAGGTTTTACACGCAGGTTACACAAAGTACCGTTGCTTTCTGTGAGTGGGACAGTCGAGTAAGGTTACGCCACTGAACCCTAAAAGATTGGCCACGTAGACAGTGGATTGTAGATTGTGCTCGAAAAACCTTATTGACAAGTCCGTCATACTGTTACCTCCGCTTCATATCAAATTTGGACTTATGAAGAAATTCGTTAAAGCTTTCAGTATCTGTTTCATCGATTCCTGGAACATCAATAATGTCAAAATCGAAGAGGGTATCTTTACAGGTTCAGATATCAAAAAACTTCTATCTGATGCTAATTATGAAGATGTTCTGTGCGCTGCAGAACGATCAGCATGAAAATCATTTCGAGATGTGATCAAAACCTTTCTTGGTAACAAAAGGGATTCACAAACCAATGGTGAACAGAATACTTGTTTCTTAACAAGATTTGGGCTACAAAATTATCTTAAACGTGCGCACGTCACATCTGGACTATTTCTTGCAGAATCTAGGAATAATGAGCGAAGAGCAAGGAGAAAGATTTCACCACGATCTAAAGGAATTGGAACGCATATATCAAAGAAAATGGAATAAAACCATTCTTGCAGATTACTGTAGGTAACGCGCGAAAAGCAAGACAAAAATGCCCTATAAACCAAGTTAAGACGTTATAAAATTGAATCCATGGTCTTACCATTATCAATAACTTATGAGGTATTTGGTCAATTTCAACTGCTGTTCTTCACTTCAAATAAGTATACACAATGCATTACATATTTTTATGTTATATTCATAAATATATAATACTGTAGTATTATATATTTATGAATATAAAGGAATGAAATGAAGGAGTAAAAATAATAAGACAGAAGCATATCTTACATATAACAATAAATTAATTGTAAACTTGCCTGTGCGCGTGTCTCGTATTTATCGTATTTTCATTTTGATTGTGCAAAAAAACCTAATGTGATCGAGGAAAACGGACATCAGATCAACATGTCGAAAATATAAAAAATTACTACTTAAAAATTATGCAATGATTGGAAAGTTTAAATTTTCAAGCCAGTGTAATTGTAGTTGTGGGAAATTCCCGAACAAATGTAATTTTTTTTGCAATTTTATAATAATCAGGGTTTTTAGATGTGATCTGCGTCACTCTCTTAGACGTCCTTCAGGGTATCCAACAATCAAATTTAATTAAAATCGATTAAGCCATTTCTTGAAAATTTTGAGAAAGTCCCAGGGGTTTCATGTAAAGTACCTATAAAAACTCAAATTACGGTTTCAAATTCAAGGGTCCGTGACATCAGCCAGATCGATTGAGGAATTTCAATTTTGGAGAAAGTCGGGTGAACGGGTCAGCCGCTAGCGTTGTTCACAGACATACTGACAGACGTTTTGCCGTCAATCGATTTTTCGGTATTGATACAGTCCTTAGGGACCCACGAAACATGGATACTGGATACACCACGTATTAAAGGATTTTTTTCTAAATTAAGCAACTGGATTTATCCACATTTTCTTTACCAGCGCCTTGTAAGAAGCGTTTTTCTTCCGAAAATTAGCCGTTCTTTCGCGCAGCATTACATTTTTCTATCTACCGTGGCAGCTGTAACGAGAAAGTAAAAGTAATCTGTGACGGAATGTGACCGAAGTGTGTAGAAAAATCTGGTGATCATATTTCAATCAAGATTAAGAGAAAATATCGTTTCCTATTACGTAAGTGCTAATATCAATTTTAGGGTTGGAATAAAAATTTTAATTATTGGGATTTTTTTACGATAATTTGGATTTTTTATTTCTTATTTACCTTTCTACATCCAATTTTCACCGGAATAAAGATTTTTTTTTCATGCATATTTGAATGAATTAAATGCCATTTTGCCTGCCGATTTTATGTAAAATAAATTACTGAACTTCCGGGCTCATATTATAATACATATAAAATACATGGTTTCTTTGTAATATTACATAGTAATCCATGTAATAGAAGCAGGAAGGTAAATGCGTTGAATGTACAAACACACTTCCGGGATATGCTTCTCTCGAGTTTGGATCCGCACTTAACTGCGTAAGGAGTAAACGTTTGCCGGATAACAGTCTTTGAACCTAGTATTTCATAATCAACTAAAGTTCACAGTTAAATCTGGAAATGGAATTCGGATATGAACAATTACATGACATTTTACTTCATGAATGAAAATGAGTAACGATACCATGTTGAGATATTCGTGAATAAGGAAAAATAAAAATATTTTTCTGCACGTTCCAGTGTATTTATAAATTCTATGACCGTCCTAGCAAGTCCACGCCAATCTGCAGTTCCTTGGAAATATTTGCTGTATAAGTTGTAAACGTTGTGATCCACGGTTCACGGACGTAGTTTTGCGTTTTGTGAACCACATATGGATCACAGGACTCTAAATGTGTTAATTTATTGTACTCAGTTATGTTCTTCATTATTGAAACGTATGTCCCTAAATCACAAATTATCTTTAAATATTAGAAAGGCATTAAAAGGGCGCTCAAAATTCTTTCTTCCTAAAAAACAACTTAAAGTTCGTCTATAATGATGGTAAGCAACAAAATTATTTAAATAATTTTACCATTGTATTTACTAGAATATGTATACTATATTTTCAATTTTTAGTTTCCTCATATATGAGCAAGTGCATGACATGTCTTTTCTGCAACAATTTCCGATACGCGTGATCGATTGTATGAAATGTTTTTCTCTTTTTCAAATGCAGGGCCATCGCTGAACCATGATCAACCATGTATTCGATCCCTGATAGTAAAACTCAATTGTAACATTATTTAATTCTTCGAAAGTGTGTATGTGGCAGAACCTTGTGTAACTTTTCAGGCAAACCAAGAATTCAACAATTGCAAGGAGGCGTTTCTTACATCATATTCGAATGCAGACTCCTCAATAGAAAGGCAGGGAGAAGAAAGAGAACTTCATTGCCAAATATTATTTTGGCAAGTACCTTTCACTAATAGCAAAATTCTCAACACCTATGACCTCTTGATAACAATTATTTAATGAATACAATACTTGAGGTAACAGCCATTTTCTATGCACTTACTACAGACTTAGTATCCATGATGTAATTGAAATTAACGAAGAACTCAATTAATCAAGAAATTTCATGCAATTTTCCCTGAAGATATTGAAACAAGTATTTCTCAAGGTTTTGTAGGGTTATTTCAACTAGACAAAAAAAACATGAATATATATAAAATTTCTTGATCTTTTTTGAATATTCCATTTAATAAAAATGAATACAAAAAAGGCCAACGTTTCACATTAAATATCAGTAAACAACATCTATTCTTGCGAGGCAAATAAAGTTAGAATTTGTTAAATCCTGGCAAGTTTGATAAATTAATTGTAATGTTTTCATGAAGACTAGGATGGTATAATTAGATTACTAGAAAATTTGCTATTTAATTTTTGATCTAAAACCAATTAAATGAATTACTATTTGTGAAAAATAATATTAAGAGTACAATATTTTTTGGGGAATGATAAAAGTACGGCCAGGTTTTACGAAGCAACTAAGAAAATATAAAAATAAATTAATTTATGGCACAAATAAAATAAATACAGTTGACTAGAATAAAAAATCACATAAATCAATCAACAAGAAATAAAGCTCATTTTCATTCAAAATACATGGATTCTAATACGGTTTTTCCTTGCAAGTCATTCAAGAAATATAAGAAATATCTGTTTTCTGGAAATATACAGTGGATTATTCAGTCTTCTATATATCACAATTGAAAACTAAAGAGTTCTCAAGATTACTACACTCACTTGTACACTTCGATTTAGTATCATTTTCAGTTGGAATGAAATGTTTTCATTTTAAAATTAAATTATTAACATCAGAAAGGATGTGGGCATTCTGCTTTTCAATTTTTTGGATAATTTACTTTTACTGATACCCTGACTACTAGAAACTATGGATTACCAGTTAAGTGCATGCTTTAAAGAAAAAGGAGCTGGCTATTTCAATTATTAGGTCCAGTATTCCTTTTACTCTGATTTGGAAAATGAACTATCATATGAAATAGTGTAATTTGTAAACAATATCTTCATTAGTACCTATATCAAAAATCAGTCTTGGTTTTCAACTACATTTTCACTGATTAACAAGTGTTTCTCTCACTGATTACTCAAAGAATATTCCTATTACGACACGAAATGTGTTTTACACAAAACGATTTGAGCTGTTAATATTTTGGAAACGTTTGAGGAAGGTGTTCCTGTTCCAGATTTTCACATATTGATCTTCCCTGCAAGCATATTGCGTTGTTGCAAATAATCACTTGTTCCAATGAAGTGAAACATCCTACAATACTTTACAAGACCAAACTAGGCCATCCACCCATTCTTTTTCCACAATCGTTTGATTGTCACTAACCGAATAAAACACTAGCGCCGAACAATCGTATCTAGCAGACTACTGAAGAGCAAAGGGTGTAAGTGCGCCGGGAGGGAACTGCCACTACGCTGCCCGGGCGCGTGGCGAGCTAACTGTCCGTCGGCGTCACCGGCCCTCTTCGGATCTGGACACGCACTCGCAGGCCGTGTGGTTCTGGAACTGGTGCTCGATGAAACGTTTCCTCTGCGTGCCCACCACCGTCGCATGGAAGCAGAGCGTGACGGTCTCCACGTGCGGTTGACAGCGGTGGTCCTGCGGGTTGGGCTTCGTGCCGCAGCAAGCCAACTCGTCGCAGCGGTGCAGCACTGTTTGGCGAGGATGCACTACTTCCATTGGTCCCACACCCTACGAAACGGAGAAAAACGAGAGGTGAGACATTGTGTCAACGGCAATTGCATTCATTACGTAGTTAATTAAAACTGCGCGTCTGTATTTTCATGTAAACCAGGTGAACGAAGTAATACATTTCACAATATCAAAATGTAATCTTCAAATGGTGTAGACAGTACATGTAGAAAAGAGTACAGCATAAGTGTTTTTATTCATAATTAACTATTCAATTAAATTACACTATTACGGCATTCCAAATTTTTAAAGAGAGCAAAATTAAAAAGAAAAATCAATCATATTTACGAACTTTTAGAAAACTGTGTTACCAGAAACATTTCTTTCCTCCCCAAAATTAACTAACGGCATCTTTATGTGCTAAGAAATGTGAATTGTATAAATTTTAAAATGATTGTTCTCTAAGCGTTTAATTCCAGCGAAATGCACGAAGACAAATGTTGGAAATGATAACTAATAAATAAAATATTTGCACGATAGACAAACAGAATTCCTCCGAAAAAGAAAATTTCAGTAGTGATATGGATGTTTTTTCGTAAAGTGAAAACAACTTTTAAACGTAAACTTTGTAAACTTTTGAAAGTTTACGGAAAGTTAAAAGTCTGTTGCCCGAACAAGAGCAGAACCAAGTGCCAGTTTGCGTGCGGTCTCATCCTCACCTGCAGTTCGTTTTTCACTTCAATAGCTCTGGGTTGCGGTCCCTTCTTCCACAGCGTCAACACACGGTTGTAGTTCTCCCTGACCTTGTCCACACGTGAACTTGCCCTTGCCATCGCGTCCACTGCCTCCACCGCGAACAGCGCCAACAGAAGCAGACCTGCTGCTCCCAGTCCTGTTGTCCTCCGCGCCATCATTGTCGATTATTGTCTGTTGAGCACGCGCACTCCTTGCCTTCACCGAGCCGTATGAACGGCGAGGAACCTGGCGCATACTTATATCGGCGGCGGCGGCGGCGGCAGCAGCGAAGGCGACAGGCCTGCCGGGTGACGCATTGCCGGCACTTGCGCATCGCGTGCCGTGCCGTGCCCGCCTCCGGCCCCCTCCCTCGCTCGCTTCCCGCTATTGGCTCCGTCTGTCGCAATCCCACTAGAGTTTTCCTACGAAAGTCTGTCATCAGCAGAAGGGTACAATGAGCAGGAAGAGCGGTAGAGACCCTTCGTGGACGTTGGTTTAATGGATCAGCCCTTAGAATGTTTGTTTGTTGTATTTTTAGTTCTTGATTTACCTGGAAGGGTTACATAATAATCTTCCCCGTTGCGAAATGAAACATGTCCAGACTTGAAACTCTTGCTCGCTAAATGTGCCAAATGTCGCTGCCAACACTTAGTTCTGTTCCATTTCGTTTACAAAACACACCACTTCTCCTGTTTTACGTTCCTCCTTTCCATTGCATTCCATCTTTTACCTGTCTTTCTCTACCACTTCCCTTATTGTTAACGCTCATTTCATCCATGCATCACCGGCGAACAAGGTCAATGGAATGTGTCAAGACCTTACAGTGACATGCTAATATTCACTCTATTCCGTAAAAAATTCTTAAAACAATTTAATTATTTTTTTGTAAATGCTGAAATGCGGGGTCAGGGTATGTATGTAATGTGGTTCTGAGGATCATCAAGAAGATTACTTATGGTACATTAGTATTATTAATAAATAGTATTCGCTCATTATTTTCATAGTACAAAAACACTTTATACCTGTTATCTCACGTAAACTCTGAAAACAAGTTTGTTAATAGTTGAAAAGGGACTTTTTTACGACACTGAAGACTTTCACATACATTTTTAAAAGGTTTTCATCCCCGGGGAATTTTTCGTGAACATGGAAACATACAAAAATAATACAGATCAGAAAGAGATGTTTTCTTACTTTCATTGATATTGTAAATGAAATATCAAAGCACTGATCGTCGAAAAAAAATATATTGAAAAATTCGTAATATTAGAAAGATAATAATAATAACAATAACAAATTCCATTTTTAATACGAGTAGAATCGATTGATCGTGGCTGTACAAAGTAGATAACATTTTAAAACATTTCAAGAACAAAAGAGGGGAATGAATGATGATTTTTCACAAATATCTCAAGATATTTCATTCGTTACTTTGTCATTCATCATACTCGTAGGATTCGTCGGGTAGTCATGGTAGCAACATTTTGTTAGTCTTTCGTGTTAATCCACTTCCTAATTAATATACCACTGTAACAAATGTATAAAACGAAAATAAATATAAAATCTCTTTATTGTGAATGCTTCGACATTTCATTTACAAAATCAATAAACGTAAAATTTTATTTTATTTTTTTATCTGTAAATTTGATGTCAGTTTCTGTGCCGTTCCTCTCAAGATAGTGCTTTTGTTAGAAGTATGTTAGTCCACTCCAACTCCTCATTCATTTTCGTTTATCTTCCTTCCTACATTTCGTTCTCTTATCTTCTCCTTGCTCTCTAGCCATATCGCACACGCAATTCCGTAATTGGTGAAAGAAGATGGATTAAGTAGTTGAAGAAACTTTGTTGATGAATGCAGAGTTCATCAGGATGTATCTGTACATTACACGCATTTTTAGCATCAAAAATACCTGTTTGATATGGTCAGCGGGTCTAACGTGATGCACAGCAGCACAACACATGTCTAGATTTAAAACTCTTTTTTGCACCTTCAATTCGTAAGATTGCCTCCGGTTCTTCTCTTTCAATTTCATTTTACTGTTTCTCGCTCACATTTTCTCTTTCTTTGCTTTCATATTTTTTTCTCTATCTCGTGCACCTGTACGGCCGTGGTCGAATGAAGTCAATGAAATGTAGAGTCAGGATGATTCAGCAGTAGTCTGACTTGCACTGAAACATTCAGGAAGTGACAGAATTTCATCTCATTAAAACTAGATGTAAGATCACGTAATGCACGCGTAAGATGTTGGTTTATATGCGTTTAGTATTTTTGTTTCGAGTTCTGGGACTTCTAACTAACCGCAAAATCTTTTATATAAATTCAGTTTCTTTTCTTTAGTATAGATATTTCATTCATCTTTCCTGTGAATTAATTTACTTCCATTTATTTTTAATTACTTTTACGTCACATAATAAAGAACATACTGGTAGGGGTTATGTTATATTCACATAATAAAGAACGAACTAGGAACTAGTAGGGGGCCAGTGCGAAATTTATATGTAGTACCCAGCTTCTCTTCCAAAAAATGAACATGTTTCATTTAAATTAATGAAAAACTAATGGTAACCAGTTTAGTGACCATTTCATTCTCTACGAATTTATTTTTATCTACTCGGTGCTTCTAAACAACAAACATCTTCCGAGGGGTATTTATCCGTGTTAGGCTAATATTCTTGCTGATATTTAATTGTAGGGTTAACTAAACGTGATGTGTTCTACGCACCCCAACAGTACCAAAAACATCAAGCACCCATATTAACGACAAGGACCGATTCTGCAATTCTTTACGCCGGAGCGCTGCGTTAGTGTATGGATTATCCACCTACTAGGATTTCCCGTCTGTTCCTACAAATTCCTTTTGTAGCTCATATGCCGATAGAAGAATTGAAGAATGTGGAAGAACATTCTTCCGCAGTTACCAATCTCTTTGGCATTCAGTCATGAAGGAATTCTGTCAAATTTTCATTTTAATTACTGTCTCACCTTCCATAACTAGGGGCGGATTTTAATGAATGTCAATTTTTCTTTTCACTTTAGAACAATGCCGTTTAGTATAGAAATTCATTTCATGTTATGACAAAACGAAATTACCTATACATAATTTGTTTGCATTTTCGTCCATTTCAACTAATAAGTCATTTTACGTAATTTTTAATGCATATTTTTCTGATTTCATCGATTTTAATATCATTTTAATTAGTACCTGCTTTAAACATTATCTACGAGGTTCGTCACAGAATTCCTGAGTAGCCTATTCGATTTCTTCGATCATATATTGTAATGCCAGCCGTTGTACTATGTAAACTGAGGTTCCTGTGACGGCTATTCGGCCGATTTCGCAATAAATGCAGAGATTTTCTTTTAAAGAAGAGTCCAAAGGAAATATTTGATAGCTGAGTTCCCTTGAACAAACGAATGAAGCATGATTACATCATCAGATACATAACATTAGTAACATATCCAACAGCTTGAGTTGTTCATCTGAAGTGATTTTGATTAATTTTCTTAGCATTTTATTGATCACTTTTGGCAATGTTTTAGTTCATCAATATACGCCCCCTACTCATAGCTTTTCATGCTCCCATTTACAAAATACACAGATTGGCAGAAATCGTAGAGGTGTGCTACTGCATTTCGTAATTGCGACTTCATTTAAAACCTTAAAAGTCTCAATCTTCTCTTTTTTTCATCTTCAAAATTCACAAAGTCTTACATTAACCTGTAAAAATATCACATTCTTAGAAAACAAAAAAAGTATTCAATATATATATATATATATATATATATATATATATATATAGTAACGCTATATCGAGTAAGCCTTTCCCACCGACGGCCCCGCGCACTCCTACCCTCAGAATTCCTTTTGTCGACGCCTTCTTGGAAAGGTTGCCAATTCATCAGCCGTTACCGGATGCCGCAGGTCTGTGTTTCCCTGAAGGTACCAGTGAACGCAAATTCTATTTTCAGAATTTAGGCATTTTAAAAAATAAATTTCAACGGGCATGCGCTGATATTGGATTGGATGAGTTCAAGCCCCACTCCCACACCATTCGTTCAAATACAACGAATATTGAGCTACTTCATCGGTGAATGGGTGGGATTAGTGGGCAAAGTAAATTCATTCAGATTAAAAATTACGAGCAAGTTTACGATGTAGAGGCATTCAAGTGAAAATTTCGAGCGAGTGAAGTTCGAGCTGCCACTCGGGCTGTTGAGGGAGAGTGTGGCCGCCCTCCGCATTGCCATCGGCTGAGGTCGCGTGGCGAAAGGGTAATTGCGTTGACGCCGGTCGCCAGGGCCCGATGTACCCGACTCGTAGCTGACCTGCCGGCGGTCAACAGCCGCTGGTGCCGGCCTGCCAGGCACTTACAGCCGCCACCTCCAGTAGCCTCTACTGCGGGCTGCGGCCACCGCCACCATCGTCGCCGAGCTCGGGCAAAAGGGTTTGCCCGTACCTGCATGTCTCGTCAAAAACACTGGAGGATTGGACTTTGACCCCGTAACATTCTTCTCTGTCCCTCTCCTTCTCCGTCCCTCTGTCCTTGTTCCTCTCCGCCTCCATCTCTGTCCCTCTCCGTATCTGTTGGTTCCTCCCCCCTCTTTACCTGTTGTTTTACCTCCCCCCCCCTCTCTCTCTCTCTCTCTCTCTCTCCTCTCTCTAGTATAATATATTATATATATATATATATATATATAATCCTGATAATTTTATAAAATTGCGAAGAGGCGAAGAGTCTTTTAGGCTGTGAAATGACTCATTCGATTCGTTTGTCACTTTCGAAACAAACGATACATTTTATGGAACATGTACTTTGAAAGACCTAATACTTACACGCAAAAGTAACGTGATCATACGTTGTTAAGAAATTCGCTTTCACTGTCGCTTGATAACGCTGAGTTTCTTTTATTTATTTAGTGGAATATAAATACTTCTTTATCCCATGTAGAGCACTTTAATGGTTGAAACAGCGCTGCCTCATGGAGAAAGACGTTTTCACGTTTGTAATAGGATTAACAAGATACTTTTTTTCTCTAACTCAATGACCACAGCTTCAGTAGTCAATGAGTAGACCATTTACCGAGTTTTTATAAGAGATGAAGAACCAGTGTTAAGTAATTTTCTAGTAGGTGGATAAGGAAGATTTTTTCGGTGAAGATATAATGCTGACTTCATGTGAGAAAGCGAAGTTATTATCCGAAATCCTGCATTCAAAATGGAAAGACTTTGATTTTTTTTGTGTTCATTTGAAGCAAAAAAATGTGTAC